AATAATTGTGCTGTCTACCAGAGATGGACCTTCCTGGTGCAGAGCCAAGTGAAGCAGTTCATGTGTCCTCCCTTCCAGAGGACATCTATTTTGTCTTCCACATGCAGGTGACTTTTTGAGCCTCACTCTCAGAGAAACCTTCTTGGTAAGCCAAAGTCTCTTATTTTATTATTTGAACATGAGTGCCGATATTTTAGTCCAATTTCATCACTATGTAGAGATCTTCTGTTCTTTTCCAGTAGAGCAGCTGGAAGGAACCTGGACCAGGAGAAGCAGTAAAAGAAGAGCAATCAGAAGCTTCTTAATCCTTATATGTCACAATAACATGTTACTGAATTATCCTAAAAACCGCACATACAACCTGAGCACCCATCTGCCTCTCACAGTTAACCAGTTATTACTATATTGTATTCTTTAAGTTATTACATGAAAAGTATACACAATTCAGCACGTTGGTAAATCCCTTCACTTTTTCCTTCCCTTAAACACAAACTATTTTGAATGTGGTGGTGTCCCTCAGGCATAGCTCTTCATTGTACCTTAAGTCATTAGCAAGAGGCAGTAATTGTAGCATCCATGAGTTAAATAATAAGGAAGCATCTTTTATGGTAAAATATAGTGTAACTATTTTTTACTTAGAATGAAGTAAAGAGGACTATGTACCATATTTTTCAGAAAATAAAATTGCCTAAGGGCATCAATTTTAAATGGTACACATATGCAATAAATTTTAGTATATGCTGATTTTAAAATGGAATGTCATGAAGGTACTGTTCAGCAAAATGACACTAAAGAAAAGGAAAATTAAGGGAAATATATGTAGGTCAACTAGTGTGATGTTTCCCCTGCAGAAGCAAAAAACAATAAACATGTAAGGAAATGTGAAATAACAGTCTTCCAATATTTCCTTACTATGTCTTGCAAAAAATATCTTAAAAAAGCATGGTGAAGGTGTGACTTTTCTGTTGACCACTAGAGCATTTCCAGATTTTCTGCAGTTTTTATCATGCATGGATAATCCATCAGAATAATTTTCACAACTGTATAAATTCAATTAAGTTATAAATTTTCTCATCTAGATTTGGGGGGCATAATGGGGATTGAACTTGGAACACTGTGCTTGCAAAGCAGGTGGCAGCACCACTGATCACCCTGGCCCCACATGGAGAGTTATTTTCAAATAATTTTCCCAAACTTTTCATAACCTTTGGGAATCATTTATAATTTTTACAATATTTAATTCATTTTTCTTCCTTTTAATCGTACTATATGTTGGGGCTATATGAATATTGCTATCATTATTATATGTTTCCTTTCCTAAGGAGAATTAGTAAAGGACCACTAGGCAACAGTCAATAAATGACTCAGATTAGAATTATCAATAAAACTTAAAATGTATGGTGAAAGGTGGATGAGGCTATGAATGTAGTTTTAGTATCTCTCTAGAAAAGAGTCAGCGATTATATATTAATAGTAGAAAACATGATTTAAATTAAAGTTAAACATGAGAGACATCTTAAGAAACTGGTAAGAGTCAACCTCACTGGGAATGAGACTGAGACATGTGTCCTCTAAAGTGTGGTCTTCATTGTCCAACTAAGTGTGATTTTGGCACTGGATTTATAAGTGGCATTTTGGAACTGTTCATAAATGTTGAGGTTTATGAGTAAATGAAAAAGTAATATATATGCTAATTTCTTTATTTTGTTAATATCTGTTTATGGAAGAGAGTGTTTTACTTTCTAAAAATGTGAACTGAATTACTAAGGTGTAATATAAATTTCTGTCTGCATTTTATTTTGAATCTATTCAGAAAAATATATGCATATAGAGAAAATAATAAAGAAAGTGTGAAAAGTATAATAACAATTAGTTAAGCTGCGTGTGTGTTATATGGTAATTATAGTTTAATTATACATTTGTATAAGCTAAAATTATTTGAAAATGAAAACTTAGACATTTAAAAATATAAGAAAATTTAATAAGTTGTAAAGGGAGAGATACTTACAATTAAATACACATCTTGCAATAATATAAAAATTTATTTCCTTTCCTTTCTACTTAAGCAAGATTCCCAAAGTTTGTTTGAACTTATACAATCTTCATTGATATTAAGATTTCTCAATTTCTACATTCCATCAGTTCCTTCAGATGGGAGAAAAGTGCCATGTGCTCTTGCTCATGGTAGACATAGGTTTTTACATGTGAATAAACACAATCATGCATACACAGACAGAAAAGATTGGAAAATTCCATTGAGGATCCTTTCCAGCTATAAATATATTGGGTGATTATGCTCTACTCATTTCTCATACTTAAGACAGCTTCATGAAGATTTTGGCCCTGAGATTTTGAGATATGATTGCAGAATATAAATAATTTATTTAACATATGTACAGTTTGACTTGGGCATTGTTAAAAGGTCACCATGCTAATGAACACAGTCAATTTATCAGTTTTCATTATATAAAAATAAAGCCTCCAGTAGATTTTCACACATCTTAAAAGGAACTCCTGGATGATGGATTAAATTCAGATTCTTTCATTTTACCAAATGACCTCTGCCTACATAGCAGATTTAACCTCCTTCACCTCCTCCTCCTCCTTGCTCTTTTGGTACCTGTGAATGAACTTGGGTCCTTGCACTTGAGAGGCAGGCAGTGGCACCACTGAACTAAATCCCAGGCCCTATCTTCATCATTTCAGAAAAATCAATCATTATAAGGGATGCTCTGACTAGGAAGTCTGACTCTCAAAGCCCGTGTTATTTTGTTAGATTCTATCTTGTACAGAGCAAGAAAAATTTTTCTTTTTGATACTGAGGATGGAACTCAGGACCTTGAGCTTGTGAGGGAGGCAGCAGCACCATTGAGCTTAATCCCTGGCCTAGAATTTTTAAAAATTTTTTTCATATATGATGCTACATTTCATTCATTCTTTCATTTAGCTATTAGTATTTGTGTTTTTTTGTTTGTTTGTTTTTTGGTACCAGGGATTGAACTCTGGTCCTTGTGCTTGCAAGGCAGGCCACCGAACCGTTGAGCTAAATCCCCAGCCCAGTTTAGCTATTAGTTTTGTGACATTCCAATTATATATAAATATATGTTTCATAATATTAATGGAAAAAAATCCCTTAGGGTGGGGAAAAGTGTTATTAAAATATTTCCATAGTTGCTAAAGAGATCATTGTGTTTGCAAAACAGGTTCTAATGTGTTTTGAATTTAAAGACAAAGCTTTCTAGTCATTCTTCATGTCCATCTGAATGGTTGTCTTCCACATCCTGAGATGAACTTAATTCATAGAGATGACATTTTTTCAAAGTGATGGAAAAAGTGAAGATTTATCTCAACATGAAATCATTATAGGGCCAGTGATTTAGTTCAGTGGCATTGTGCCTGTCTCGCAAGTGCAAGGTCCTGAATTCAAACCCTGGTTTAAAAAAAAAAAAAAAAAAAAAAATTACAATTGAAGAAAGTAATAAAAACTGCATAAATATTTCAGAACAGTAATCTGTACTATCCAGGAGCATTAGCAGAGATTAAGCAAAAGTGGCAAATCAGCAGTATGACAGCCATATTTTTAACCTAGTTTTTTGCCAAAGAGTGTGTGAATTTTTCCAGGACATGTCCTCAGTGTTACATGAAAAGCATAATATATCTAAGGTTTAAATTGACAAGCATTCAGGAGACTCAGAGGATTGAAAAAATTAGAAAGCATTGATTCATGACAGGGTTCCCCATACTTCAGTCACAGATGAATCCAGAGACTAATAATTTGGACTACACAGCAGCAGGTGAGCAACAGGAAAGGGATTAAAGCTGAATCTGTATTTAAAACCACTGCCCATGGCTTACATTAACACCTGAGCTGTGCCTCCTTTCTGTTGACCAGTGGCTCTGAGTTCTGAAAGGAACTTGAACACTACTTTGAATTTTGCATTCCAGGAATCTAAGTTGCATTTTCTGTTAGAGAATTGTATGCCTGATGATCTCAGGTGTAGTTCAGGTGCTGATTATTGTGCTGTGGAATAGATGCAAATAGGGAATAAAATTAGCACAGGCTTGACTACACATAGACTACACATAAATCTATGGCTTGTCAACTTATCAAAACCCTGATAGTAAGCAGAAAATAACAATTAATCTGTATTTAATGGTAGGATTTTGTTTTATTTTATTTTTTTGATACAAGGTCTCACTATGCAACTAAAAATAACCTGGAACTCACTATGTAACCCAGACTGGTCTTGAACTCACAGTGATCCTCCTGCCTCAGTCTCCCAAGTGCTGGGATTATAGGCATATACCACCACACCTGGCAATGGCAGGTTTTTATTCAGAATTCAACCTTAATGTTACACTGCATGAGGCCTGTCAATTGTTTTCTTTTTCTGTTTTTAAATTATGGTAAATAGTATAATTATTTCATTATATACTACAATGTAGTAATAATAGAAATGAGATACACAACAAAGTAATAGCCTTGAGCCATAATCACCACTACCAGATCCTCCCCCAATCTGAAGGAAAACCATACCCATAAAGTTTGTTCATGGTGCTAAAAAGATGGGAATTTTCTACTGTGGAATATAGAGTAGATAAATTAATTATCTTATTTACTTTTGAGCATGGATTGATTACAAAGAAACATGCATATCTTATATTTCATTGCAATCTCAGGGTTTGCTTCAATTTCAAACAAAATGTGGTTTTAAAATGGAGTTAGAAAAACAAGAGTAGTACATTGGATGGAGTCAAGGATCACAAAGAAATCCGAATATTTGCCTAAGATTTACATGTGAATCTGAATTTTTTCTTTATCATAAGGCCTTATGAAAAACACTATAGACATACTAACTTCATCTAGAGTATCATCTGCTAAACATACAATGCTGGTCTTTGTTTCCATAAGATGTATAACAGACATCCATAGTGGTAGATATGACTAGTCACACAAAAATATTTGGTTTATTTTACTTTTCACCTATCTTTTCCTTAGATTCAACAACATGAAATTCCAAAACCAGACAGCAGTTTCAGAATTTATTCTTGTGGGATTGACAGATGATCCAGAACTGCAGCCCCTCATCTTTGGCCTGTTCCTGGCCATGTACTTGGTCACCATTCTGGGAAACTTGCTCATCATCCTGGCTGTAAGCTCTGACTCTCACCTCCACACCCCCATGTACTTCTTCCTCTCCAGCCTGTCTTTCACTGACATCTATGTGAGCACCACCACCATCCCAAAGATGCTGGTGAACATACAAACACAGGACCACAGCATCACTTACACAGGCTGCCTCATTCAGATCACATTTGTGTTGACTTTAGGAGGTGTCGAATGTTGTCTACTTGCTGTAATGGCCTTTGACCGCTATGTGGCCATTTGTCAGCCCCTAAGGTATAGGCTCATCCTAACCCCATACATCTGTGTCCAGCTGGTTCTTTTCTCTCTGTTCATTAGTGCTGTCCATGCCCTTCTCCACACTCTGATGGCACTGCAGCTGTCTTTCTGCACAAATGTGGAAATCCCCCACTTCTTCTGTGAACTTGCTCAGGTCATCAAAATTGCCTGTTCTGATACCTTTATCAATACCCTTTTGATATATTTAGCAGGAATCACGTTTTTTGCTGTTTCTATGGCTGGAATCATTTTCTCTTATGCTAAAATTGTCTTTTCTATTTTGAGAATGTCATCAGTGGGAAGGTACAAAGCTTTTTCTACCTGTGGGTCTCACCTGTCTGTTGTTTTCTTACTCTATGGGACAGGTTTGGGTGTGTACTTAAATTCTGCAGTTACTGAGTCTTCCAATAAAAATGCAGTGGCTTCTGTGATGTACATTGTGATCCCTCAAATGATGAACCCATTTATCTACAGTTTGAGAAATGAGGAAATGAAGACAGCTGTGAGGCTTCTCATTACTGGCAAACCAATCATATTATTGTGTCATTGTATTTGAGCCTAGGTTTCCAGAATGTAATAAAGTGTGAAGAATATGGGCAGGAAGAAAGCATGAATTTTATGCCACTAAATCTGAATTTTATGACATAATATCATGTCTAATCATACGTAGACCTGTATGTAGACCTCTTTGATTTATCCAAATATGTGATGTTCGACAAATGATTTCAATGACTTGACTCCATTGTGTTGCTCTGACCTCCTTAAAGGAAAACGTGAATTGGGGCCTCAATTTGAGCCATTATTTATGGGACAATTTCAGAAAAAGGAATGTTGGACCATATGGACAGATCAGTGTTAGGTGAAAGGAAGGTTGTGTGAATATACAGCCAAACACATGGCTGATTTCACAGCCAGAGCTATTTGTGTTTCATCCCATATGAAGCTATAAAACTGAACTTTCATACTCATTTAATTAATATCTGAGTTTTTCCCAAGAAAAAAGCATACTAACTTTTCCTCTATTCAGCGTTATCACTTATTTATATTGAACAATTAGGCTGCATCAATTACTTGAGGTGTTTTCTAGCTATTTGTGATTTGGAAATTTCTCATAAAAGAATTCTTTACACTAATGTTCTTGGGCCATAAATGACATTATTGTTCATTACTTAATTTCACAAGCAGAAGTTGTCAGTGATTAGGGTTTCGCTAAGCTCTGGGCAACATAAAACTATTTTTTGTTACACTCAGATGGTAATTTTTAAATTTAGGGATACTAATGTTTTGATATTACGTTTGGATTTTTGTTTTTCATTTGAAATTGTTCACTGATAAGATTCAAATGGCACACAATTATCTCAAAGCAGTATATTGTATTATTAAGCTAATTTTTGGAAAATGTCTCAGAAATCAGTGCATGTTGTGCTTTTTCAAAAATGTGATTTCCAGAAAATGGTTCTATTAATTGCTTCAGAAACAGTGGATGTCTACTGCTTGGCCTAGAGGAAGACTAACACTAATATGTAATGCATATGATGGAATCTACTCTCTATATATCCGTCAATCTGAGCAAAGGTTTATTTTAAAAACACCAAGCCCTTAGACCATTTCATTTTATGATATTTAAAGAGTGTACCAAAAATTTACTACAATTAGAATCAGGTTCTACTTTGTGCTCCTGAAAAAAGCAACTTTTCCAAGAAGAGGTCTAGGAGATAAAAAATTATACTACATGTATATTCTGCAGTATTGAACAACATGAGGGCAAAATATCAGAGTTGAGAGACAGAGCTTCTCTAAAAGACAATTCCTCAGAGATACATGAAAACCAACAAGAAAACATGAAGCATACATCCAACACTTGTTAGGTAATGCAAATAAGACTAATTTAAGATTAATTGGAATAAGTAAAACATCAGAGGATGAAAAAGGGCATAAAATCTGGATTATAGATATAATAGCAGAAAACTTTCCAAATATTATAAAATGATTCTACATACAGATATATGAAGCAAATAAAACCCCAGAACACCAAGAACAAGTGAGAACTTGTATATATCAGGTTTTAGAGAAATACCCAGAAGTCCAACACAGGAAATCTTAATCACTGTTAGAAAATTACTTGTAAATGTAAAAAAAAATTGGAATTACAGCTTTCAACAGAAACAATAAAAGACAGGAGTGTCTTGAGTGAGCTGTTTCAGTCCCAAACAGATAACAAATTGTAACCCAGACTCACGTATTTTTCAAAAATGTCCTCAAAATAAATAGAGACATGCCAGACAACACCTCCAAAAATTCATGACCACCTATTAGTTCTACTAAATGTCTCAAGAATATCCTAGAAGAACATAATAAAAACCATCTAATAGAATGGATACAGCAAACAGGGTGAGCAGGTAATCAGAAGAGAAAAAATGAAAACCAGCAGAAGGAAAATAATCCAAGGTCAAGAAATGCTTAATATCTTTTGGTGATGACTCTCTATGTGAATGGTAACAATTAGTTAATCAAATAAAATAGCACAGATTGGCATAATGGATCAAGAAAAATCTTTGATACAAAGGAAATCAAATATATTAAATAACAAATATACAGTTTAAAAACAAAAAAATGGATAATAATACACCGGGTAAATGGACGTGAAGAAAATTAGGAGTACATATTGCAATTTCAGACAAGTAGATTACAAGACAAAATTGACAACAAGCAGCAAATAAAATCACTACCCGTAGTTTAAAGGAACAATTTAACTGGAAGGGGTACCAATAAGCATATGTCACCAAACATTGGAACAATCTCACAAATGAAACCAAGCTGCACACAAAAGAAAAGATAAACTCTGGAGCAATTATAATGAGGTCCTTGATACCTCCACTGACACAAATATCTCAGTTAGGCAAAGAAAACAGCAAAGAAAAAAAAAAGTGGAACCAAATCATTAAACTATATAGTTGATAAACATTTACAGAATATTCCAATCAACAGCAATAGTATGCATAGTCTCCTCTGCAGCACTTGCGATCATCTCCAAGATGCTAGCACAGAATAATGGTTGAGTGAATGAAAATGAATCAAAATTTTATACACATTTTATCAGACAGTAATGAAAATAAACTAAAAATCAATAGTAAAAGCCCTGCAGAAATTATAAAATACATTTATTTATAAAATACAATTAGCACGCTCAAATACTAGCCAAGGGTCACAGAAGCAATAAGGAATGAATTAAATAACATTTTCAATCAAACAATAGTTCTAATATAACATACCCAAACATATGGTACACAAATAAGCCAATACTAATATAAAAGTTTATAGTTGTGAATACTCAGAACAGAAACACAGAAAATAACCAAGTGAAGTGTCTTGCACTCCTGGGAAAACAAAAACAATCTATGTCCAAATCTAGTACAGATTAGGGGAATTTAAGATTAGAGCAAAATTAATTCAGTTGAAACTACTATGATAAATCAAAGAATCAATGCATCAAAGAGTTAATTCTTTGAAAGAATAAAGAAAATAGACAAACTCCTAACCATTATTATCAAAAAAGGGGGGCAGGTCAATGCAATTAGAAAATTAAAAAGTGAAGTCAAACTGGAATCTACCAGAATTCCAATGATTATTAGTAACCATTTTGAGAAATGCTACTCTAATGAAATGAAAAATTTAGGAAAACTATATAGATTTCTAGATATACATGAACTGCTGAAATTGAGGCAAGAATCTATAAAATTTCAGATACCATAAAAGTGGAAAGATGTTCCCTGTTCCCAGGTAGGAAAGCCAATACTGGCAAACATGCATAGTTCTTCAGCTAATGTATAGATTTAACAGTATGAGTAGCATTCTTTACAGAATCCCACATTTCTTATGGAGAAGATTTCTGGAATAGAAAAACCCTCCTGAGCTATAAGAGCAACTCAAGCGGTGTGTCACACCCAGAACTGAAGTTGTACTACAAAGCTGCAAGAGGAAAAAAAAATGGTTTCATTAACAGTATAAACACGTGAGTCAGTGAAAAAAAAAAGAGTTCAGAAGCAACTCTATGAATATTCACCCACCTGATCTTTGACAAAATTGCCCAAAAGTTATGCTGGAGAAAAGACAGCTTCATTAACAAGGGTGTCTGGGGAAATGGGCTATCTTAATGAAGAAGACTGAATCTAGATTCACATCTCAACATTGTACAAATAAAAGAATATAGATCAGAGTCCCAAATGTTAAAAGACAAAAACTTGTTTGACTTGAAAATAAAATAGGCAAAACCCTTGAGGATATGGGAATTGCCAAGAATTTTCCAAGAGAAAACCAATTGCACGAGAAGTACTATTAACAAATGGGTCATAAAAAAGCTTCTGAACAGCAAAGGAAACAACCAACAGAGCAAAGAACCTAGAGATTGGGGATAAATTGTGTCAGTATGTCTCAGGCAGATTAGTGATATATATAATATATAAAGAACACACACACACACACACAGAGAGAGAGAGAGAGAGAGAGAGAGAGAGAGAGAGAGAGAGAGAGAGAACATAGGCCACCCAAAACAGAACTCCAATAAAATGTGGGCAACTGAAATGAACATGGGGCAGAAGGAACTGGTAAGTGACATACATAGAGATGCAGAATGGAAATAAAATAACAAAGGTTTATTTTGCCATCAAAAGGCTGATCACACTAAGAGCAGTGCCAGTGATTAATCCCATAATGTGTTACAGTTTCTTCTGTTACAGGGCTTCACAGCCATGATTTAATTCAGGTGGTTACATTTCATCTCCTGAGTTTACATTACTGATGTACAAATCATTGTCACAATAGGTAACTTTTAACCCAGATGTAGCAATCCTTTATAGTTAGGGAGTTTACCTTTAGGATTCATCTAGCTGTCTATTCTAGCCCACAGGAATGAGGGTGTTCAGTGTCAGGAAAAAAAAAGTTAGCAATTGTTCTATTCATGTTGATTGACACTTTTACAATCATGTGATTTGCAAAACGTCAGAGCTTGGGGTCTAGATATGCCCTATTATCTCAAAGTGAGGCCAAATGTCCTATTCTATGATTAATGCCTCTGGTGTCTGTCAACTTTGAACTAAACAAAGCAGACTGCTATTAGAGACAGGAGAACCTATTCTATACTTTTCCAACATTTTGTATGTTTTTTTTAAAGATTATGTACAAAAAGTTCTCTGTATCAAACAGACGCTTCTCTGAAGAAAAAGAAGATAAGTGAATATAAATGCTTTTAAAAGGTTAAACCTCACTGGCTATTAGAGAAATGTAAATCATAAATTTCACTGAGACTACATCTTCCTGCAGAAAAAAAGTTATTATAATCAAGAAAGAAGATAACAATGAATGCTTCAAAGCTGCAAGGATAAGGGAACTTTCTGCATGGTTGGTGGGCATGCAGTAGTACAATCTTTATGGAAACCAGTATGGGCAATGCACAAAAACAAATAGAAAGTCCATCCATTCCAACTATACCACTTCTGAGTATCTTCCTGAAAGAGTTACAGGTATCATTTTACAGTGCTAAATGCACTGACATGTTTA